AGGGGCCCCCCCCCCCCCCCCCCCTTCCCCTCCAGCGCGAACGCACCTGTCTCGTCACGAACCGGAAAACGCTCCTGCGGTACCCCTCCGCCCTCGGCGCCGGCCTGAGCAGCCTAAGCAGGTCATCCACCCTGCGGTCGATCGCCAGCGGCTGCTTGTTGCTCGGCAGGATGTCCAACGGCAGGGCGATCTCCTCCACGTCCGACAGACCCCCCCCGCCGACACCGCCAGCGGGCACCATCGCGGTGCTACCGCTACCGCCGCCGCCCGAGGCAACAGGACCGGTGGAGGGGGCGACGGTACCGGAACTGTTATTGTTCCCTCCGCTGCCGCCGCCGCCGCCCCCGAAAATTGCCGCCAGGGAGGACGGCCAGCGGGGGGCGTTCGGCGGTGCGCCAGGTGGGGGTTGGGGTGGGCTGGACAGGCCGAACATGGAGCGGGAGATGTCCTGTCGCGGGAGCAGAGGATCCAAATGGGGGCAGGGGACGGGTTTACATCAGAGGCAACTACCGGAAAGGGGGGAAGAACAGGTAATTAAGCATGTATTTTTGGGGGGAGAGCAAGGGGTTGGGCGAAGAGGAGGGTTTGAGTAGACACTAGACGGGAAAACAGGCAGCACTGATACCTAGCATCATGAATCCCCAAGGAAGAGAGAAAATACAGCGCGGGGTGCAACCGGGGCAGCCTTATCGCATGCCTGCTCAACGAAAGGGGCCGGGGGGGGCAACCTTCATTCTGCGTCACCCCGAGACCACAACAGTAACAGGCCCTGATAGATCATCCTCAAGAATATTTTTTACACAATGCCACCATACCCCAAAAAAACACACGAAGGTCCTAGGTACACACCGCCACGCTGAGCTTCCAAGGATATAGAACCGGTTGGATACCTTGACAAAAAACAAGAACAACAACCAACGCTGACAAAGACTCGCCTTGACCGTGCCGGAGCCAGGGGTGTTCCCGTCCTGCCCCTCCGCCATCATCCTCTCCTCCGGGTCTCCCAGCAGCGAACCCCCCTTCCGAAGCCTTTCCCACACCTTGGAAGGCATCGACCCCTCGGGAACGGGGATGGTGATCGGCACGGCGGCGTTCCGACCTCTCCTGCTGTCCCCGGCGGCGTCCTCGCCGTTTGCAACGTCCGGGGACGATTCTTGCGTGTCCCCTTCCCCTGGGAGCTGGCGGTTCACGAACCAAAACAAAACAAAAAAATACGGAAGTTGGAGGCTGGTTGCATTGGGAGCTGGTGGTGTGCCGGTTGACGAATTAGGGGAATCGTAGAAATAGAGGTAGCTTCTGCTGACGCCATGAAATCTTTACCCTATCCCAGACTCTTTCCTAAAAAATAGAGATGTATTCATTGCGCCATATTAAGAAAAAAAAAAATGTCAAAAAAAAAAAAATCAAAGGCTGGTGGGTAGCTTTCGGAGAAACAACAAAAACGTCAACACACAAAAATGTGTTCCTTGAAGAAACGCAGGAGATACGCTGACGTGCTCGCTCTACTGCTGAACATCCATTGTTCATAGGAATTGCTACGACCCTCACTGACACGAAATGTACTATTTTACACCAGAACACACACCTGGGTGCTCCCTCCGGCATCGATGCTGCCCATGTAGAAGAAATCGTTCGACTCCTTTCGGTCCAGACGCTGGGTGGGACAGAGACAAGACACCAAATATTGCGCCCGAGTCAACACCAAAATCAACCAGCGAGACAACACAAAAGCGAGAGACAGAAGCACACGCGCACACACGTAGCTCGGCGGCTGGTCGGACAAGAATAACGCAGACGTTGAGAAAGGACGACAAAGCAACAAAAGAAAACAAACATATACACTCCCTCTCCGGAATCAAACCCCAGTTACCCGTTACCCGTTAAAGCCATGGTAGGCCAACACCCTACCATCCAAAGCTGAGAGGGCAGACACTTGAATGAAACGTGCGATTCGCAAGTGATCATGATTCACCACAAAACCGTCCGCAGACGCATTGCAGACGCATTGGAACAGAAGAAAACACGACCGGCAAATAAACTTTGCGCTGCATGTACGAAAATTAAAATAAGAGCGAGAGAGCGGAACCAAATACCAACGAACAACGAAACAAGGGGACCAAACAAACAAACGCCTGGCATACGACGGAAAAGCACAGCAGCAGCACCCTTACGCCTCTACAGGCAACACGGACTACATTGGTTCCTCGAGGCCCACGCACTCAACCCACGCCTGTACCTGCTGTGCTGTCTGAAGGCAACCTGTGTCATGAATTCCCGCGACTCAATGCCGCGTTCTACCTTTTCTTTCTATCGCACGCGGTTGTGTAGTACTCTCCTCTGAACGGCACGCAGACGGGGGGGGGGGGGGGCTACCTGCATGCCGGCGTCGGGGTTGGAGGCGAGCGAGTAGGAGGAGGACGAGCGCATCATCATCTGGTGCTGGTGCTCGAGGAGCTTGTCGACGGCGTCGTCCTCGTCGTCGCTGTCCACCTTCATGGCCAGCTGATTGGCGCTCTCCACCCGCTTCACCTGTCGTCGTCGTCATCGTTGTCGCGGTGTTGTTTGTCGTGGCAATGGCCATGGAAAATCAGTAGCGATGATGGAGGGCTTCAACGTGGCACGCGCAACAGATGATCGAACAACCCTGTTCTTAGCTACATAGTCCACCAAACACAGGATGCCCTGAGGCGCCCGTGGAAAATGACTGGGATGCACGTCCCTTCTTGCCATGCGAGACGCTCGGCGGCCATGGACAAAGACGACCCCCGCCCCCCGAAGAATTCGTCACCCACGAACCCCCCCAAAAAACTCCAAACCGATGGTATGTCCCACCTAGACGCAAAACCATCAAATCCTAACGAACACGCCCGAAACCCAACCCAACCCAACTAAGGGATACGGCTACAATTCCAACACGTTAGCGACAGAGTGTTACCCACCCTCCCACCCACCCACCCACCAGATTGTTCAAGTCCGACATGTCGATGGCCGCCGAGGGGACCGGCGTCCCCCCGAACCCGGCCGCCGCCGACCCCGCCATGCCGCCGGTAGTAAACGACATCGAGCTCATCCGCCGCATGATCCCGGGGCCCGACCCGAAGCTGTACGCCGCCGCCTGGTCTGCGCCCCCGCTGTGGTACGAGCCGCCGTACATGGTCGGCCCCGTCGACGCCCGTCTCCTCGGCGGAGCGGCGGCGGGGTCGGCGGCCGCTGCTGCTGCTGCTGCTGTTCCCTCGTCCGCTCCAGGTGCCGTCGCCGCTGTAGTTGTAACGCCGGTATCACCGGCGGATACCGCTGCTGCCGCCTCCGCTGCGGCTGCTGCTGTAGAGAGGGCTGCGTTGTCTTGCTCCACCTGCTGAAGCCTGCGGCACAGGTTTTCCACCAGCTCGTTCTGGCCCTGCACCTGCATCTGAGAAAGACTCAGCTGTTCGCGGGGGGTAGGGGGGGGGGGAGCAGAGGGAGAGACGCACACAAGCAGTTGGTCGGGAATTGCTCGTGATGCGCGGCGGTGCTGAGCGGGCGTCCACGACAACAAACGTTCACCGCCCGCCGCGGGCGACACTAGACGTGCGGCCCTGTTCGACCGACTTCGGTTTATTCGCGTTGAGCTCCAGGGACACTCCTCCACTGCTCTGTGTCTCTTTTCCGAGGAACGCGCCGCCCTCCTGCGGCGTGTGTCATTCTCCTTCTTCAAGGCCGCGCGAAGGTCACAGCCAACCAAGGTCGGGAGCGGCGAACCACACCGGCGCAACGTACTCTAGTAACACGCTTACTACAGACAACATGACATAGAAGTCCCACAATATGGGATTGCCGAGGAGCAACAAGACGCCCCCCCGCCCTCCCCCCCCCCCT